CATCTACCAATCCCACTACTGGGTATATATCCAAAGGAACTGAAATCAGTATTTGAAGAGATATACATGTACTCCATGTACACTGCAGCTCTATTCACAATAGCCAAGATGTGGAACCAGCCTAAGTGTCCACTGATGAATGAATGTGTAAGTGAATGTAGTATAACACACAACGAAATATTATTCAATCATAAAAACAGTGTGAATTCCATTCACTTGTAGCAACATGGCTGAGCCTGGATAAGGACATTATGTTAACTGAAATAAACCAGGCACAGCAAGACAACTGCTTAATTTTCTTAGTCATATGTGAAAGTAAAAAATTTGATCTCATCAAAGTAGAAAGTAGAGTAGTGGTTACCAGATCCTGGGAAGGAGAACCAGGGAGGGAGCGGTAGAGGGAAGGAGAGAGAATCGTTAATGAGTGCAGTATCAAGGAAGAAGAACTTCTAATGTACTATAGCACAAGAGGATAAGTATGGTTGACAACAATTTATCATGAATTTCAAATAACTGGTAGAGAGGACTTTGAATGCTCCCAGCACAAGCAAATGAAATGGCATGAGGTGATAGTTATATACCAATTGTCCTGATAGGATCATCACTTACTGTATACATAGAGTGAAATTTCACACTGCAGGACATAAATATCTACAGTTATTATGTGTCAATTAAAAAAATTATGAACTGGAATTGTGGTGCGACCAGTTGAGCTGCTGCTTGTGATGCCAGCATCCCATATCGTGCTGATTTGAGTCCAGCTGCTCTGCTTTCTGTCCAGCTCCCTGCTAACGTGTCTGGGAAGCCAGCCAAAAATGACCCAAGTGCTTGGGCCCCTGCACTCAGGTGGGGGACCTGGTTGAAGCTCCTGGCTCCTGGATTTGGCCTAGCGCAGCCCCAGCAGGTGCCATCATTTGAGGAGTGAACCAGCGGAAGAAAGATTCCCCTCTCCCTCTCCCTCTCCCTCTCCCTCTCCCTCTCCCTCTCCCTCTCCCTTTCCCTCTCTCTCTCCCTCTCTCTCTCCCTCTCTCCAACACTGCCTTTCAATTAAATAATAAAAAATTCTTTAGCAGCTTCAATTCTGTCAGGGCTTCTTCTTTTGTTGGTTTTCTTTGTTGGTTTTGTCCATATTTCTTTATTGGTAAATTACAAGTGTTCTTTGCTCTCATCTCATTGTGCCTTTGTATTCTTCCTTTTTCCGCAGGTAATAAAGACCTGAGCATCCTACATCTTCTCAAATGCCACAATACAACAATGCATTTGGAGAGTAGATGCCGATGCAAGCAGAAACCAACAAGTGAGAAATCTTATGTAATCTGGACAAGAAATGGCATGTGGAGTCCTAATGTGAAAACCAAAGAGAAAGGTAAGATTGGAAATAAGATATTGTTACTGAGGAGTTCTTACAATACCCAGAGCATGCAGGACCTGGAAAGAATATCCAAGTACCGAAACAAAAATCCCAGGTCATGGGGCAGACAACTCAACCTTGAGAGATGTCTGCAGCAAAATAATGAACTGGCAAGTCATTCACAAGTAAAAACACTCAAAAAAAAAAAAAAGCATCATATGCAGGCGTTTCCAGATCAAACCTGGTCAACACAGCTAACTGTTATTCCAATATCCTTTATCCTGCTTGTTCCTCCAGACCCTGAGTGGGGCAGCATAGTGAAACAAAGATGACACTGAGGAATAGAGAAAATAGAGGGTCAAAGTTGACACCAAGATTATATGTTTGATGACTGAGTAAATGATGAAACTGTCGACCAATATAATTCAGAATAAATATGCCTTCCTTTAATATAAGATAAAGTGATGCATTGATACATATGCTTCAGAAATTAGCTATAATAAATTACAGAGTTAGGACAGAGAAGAGGACCCCAGAAACGTGCTAAAGGTGTGGGACAGTTGTTATGAGAAACAGGAAAAGCGATTGACTAGAACTAATTAAGAGCACTGTTGAAGGCTCGAGCGTAGAAGCACTGATAAAGTTCATGAAGGTAAGGAACCAAAATCTGACTTCAAAGAGAAGCTAGGCCTCGAGCTCTGGGAAGAGTGTTTCAGCATCAGTAACGTGTCTGTCCTGCGGAACCATCAGTGGTAATTGTCTGAGGCAACATCATGTCCAGGCATTGTGTTTCACAGACCGTCTGTTCTCGGCTGTAGCAGCTACAGAAATGAGACATAATGAACAGTTAAGTTTTGAAAGTCATCCTGACTTCTCTTGGCTCTGCATCATCTGTGTTCCACTTTGTTCGGGGCCTGTTAAGCAAACTATCTTAATCTAAGTGGAAAATAGAAAATGAAGCTAGGTGAGACCTGTGCATTAACAGAGGCGGTGCAAGGGGTTATCTTTATTTTAGATCAAGTTATTACAGAATTTTAATATATGATTAATTAATTTTATTAAATGTGCTATACAAATACTAATAACTGGACTGTTTTAGTTTTTTACTTCTTTAGGAGTATTTCTAGCTCTACATTTTTTAAGGATTTATTTATTTTATTTGAAAGGGAAAGTTACAGAGAGAAAGAGGAAGGACAGAGAGGGAGATCTTCTGTACTCTGGTTCACTCCTGAAATGGCAACAACAACTGGGACTGGGCTAGGCTGAAGCCAAGAGCTTCATCCAGGTCTCCCATGTGGGTGCAGGGGCCCAAGCACTAGGGCCATCTTCCACTGCTTTCCCAGGCTGTTAGCAGGGAGCTGGATCAGAAGCGGAGCAGCTGGGACTTGAGCTAGTGCCCATATGGGATGCTGGTGTCACAGGTGATGACTTAACCCACTACGCCATGCTGTCCCCTGTTTAGTTTTTAAATTCCATGGAACTGATAAGCAGCATATGAAGAAATTTTTATGAAGAATTGTACATAGTCTAAGGCAATTATAAAATACATTTATACCAATCCATTTCCTAAGGAAGTTATTAATAGAGCCTACTCATCATCATCTTTCTATTCATATCTCTTTCTTTTGCAGATAATAGCAGCTACCATAGCAAATATTTTCAGCTCCAGCTTTGTATCAAAGTCACCTGCAAAACTTCTTTTAAAATGTTGATACTGGACTTTCATTCCATAGACATTCTGATTCTGTAGAATTCACATGGAGCCTGGGAATATTTTTTGTAAATTTTTCCATAGATGATTCTGAACACAAGAATTCCTGTCGTAATTTCACCCTGAATAGTCTACAGCCACTGTCAGTCGTCTTATGCAGATATCATCCTAGTTTTAGGATTAAATCCAGATGAGATATATGTAATGACATATACACTTGATAATTTGTAGGTTGGCGTAAATGTAGCCCATCACATGGCTATTCAGATCTGGCTGTGGATGAGATCTTAGATAATAGTTAGGACAACACACTTTGGACCCACTGAGCCAGTGTGGGTTGATAGCCAGACTTCTCAAATTTGTTTACAGAAGTAGCAGCCTCCACGCATTTAAGGAGGAGGACATGGGGAGTGCAGTTGATCCCTCCTCCCTCAGACAATATTTTTAAAATTTTTATTTATTTGTTTTATTTGAAAGGCAGAGAGAGACACAGAAAGATAGAGATCTCCCATCTGCTGATTGACTCCTAGATTTCCACAAAATCTGGGGCTGAGCCAGGCCACAACAGGCGCTAGGAACTAGTACAGGTTTCCAATATAAGTGGCAGGATCCAGTATTACGTAAAATTATGTAATCTATTTCTTCTTCCCCCTTTTCTTTGACAACCAGGAAACCTGGAATAAACTCTATTGCTCAGTTTCAGACCATGCAAATGTGTCGCTACAGCTTGCATACGGTACACTCTCTCTTCCCTGTCTTGCGTTATTCTGTATTTTCCTTCACTTAGCCTTCAAAGTTTTTCTATTTTATTTCATGAATTACCTTAATCTCCCATTGAAACTACTCAAAATGGCAAGTACATGATGATATTGGAATCATTTGTGAATACTATTTCAGAATCGGCAAAATATTTTTTTCATTCTCAACTCAAGAAAAATGGAAAGAACATCATAACGAGCCTTCCTGAGCCTCTTTGAAACTAAAGCAGCTTGGCGGTGCCTTCTGCCATCAGAAGGTGTAGCGGCACGGCAGTGCCAGGCTCAGCTGCAGTTCACTCTGAGCCCCGACTGTCTCCACACTGGGAACCAGTGTGACCACTCACCTGGTTACAGTGGGCAGAGGAAAGGCAGAGGACAGCGAGCACCCAGGTGCACACAGGACAAAGTACCCAGATGACACTTGTAATCATGGCAGCTGGTCTACGCTGCTTTTACTATTTCATTTCCTAGACTAACAGCTGCTGTTCAAAAATTCTTATGTATTTAGTTATTTTATTTGAAAGGCAGAGAAAAAGCTACTGATAGGGACCTGTCATGCAAATTGACTCCCCAAAAACCCACAGTAGCCGAGATGGAGCTAGGTTGAAGCTAGGAGCTGGAAATTCAATCCAGTCTTCCACGTGGGTGAAAGAATCCAACTACTGTAGCCGTCATCTGCTGCCTCCCAGGGTGTGCATTCACACCAGGGAATCTGGGGTGGAGCCAGGAGTCAGATCCCGGAGCTTCAGGAGGGGATGCAGGCGTCCCAAGGGGTGTCTGAACCACTGTCGAAACGCCTGCCCTAGCAGCCCGTATGTTTTATCAACAGATGAAATTTGTTGTGTCGTTGGCTAAGAAGTAGCCTAGCACACTTGTTGAATATTTGTGCCTATGTGAAAGCCAATCCAGCCTTCTCCAAAACGTCTCAAGCTTTCCAGAGCAAAGGCATCTCTTAGATCCTTTTTCAAACAGTTAGTATTCGAAGCGGTAGTTCTCATTATACCTAAGAGAAAAATTGTTCTCAGGGTTTCTGAGGAGGAATTGTACTGGGGTCCTAGGAAATGCTTCTACCCTCTTGTGGTGAGGCTGCTGCCTGAAGATGAGAAAGGGGAAAAGTCTACTCCTACCCATTGCTACAACGACACAGAAAAGGTGCATAGTACAGAATTGCTCAGGTAAACCCTAGGACAGTTCCATCACTGCCAATCCAAGGCTATAGTGCTTAAGGTCAGGTCTTCTAGATGAGAATAAAACACAATCCGTCATCTTGGAGTGTTGTCTTAGCTGGAGTGAGTGTGGTACTTGTAACCTTGGCCTCTTGTCCTGTGTCTCATCCTTATACAGTGAAGGCTACTGTTGGAGCTGATGACCTATGATTCCCAAACATAACCTGTCTTCAGAGAAGTGGCTGAAGATAAGCATTGTGTGGTGAGCTCCTGAAACCCCCGATGTGAAAACCCAGCCCAGAACAATCGGAATAACTGCAGGAAGTTCCTATGCATCAGTTTGACGCTACCCAGGTGATACCATTAAGAAATGAAATTTGACATTCTAATTTCATGTAAAATCAATTAATTAAATTATGTGTAATTATGATAAGAATCTCATTACATAATGAGGAAAATAACCCCACCAACTATTGATGATTGACTTAGAGATCACTCTTGGTAATCGTAAGCACCCTCTTTTCTATGAAAGCTTCCTGTTTTACAATTCACACTAGGATCTGAGTTAGTGTTTTCATAGTATACTGAAGCAAGTTCTATAAATCTTAACTTGTTATTAAGGATGATTTTAGAGAAATTGCATACTCTCAGTTTAAATTTAGATAGGAATGTTGAAGTGAATCACTCTAATAAAAAAGATGGAACACAGATTTAATCTCAAAGGCCAAGCTTGCTTATATCATATGTAACAGAAAGGGTCATTTTAAAACATCTGATTCATTCAAGATTAGAATGCAATGAGCAAATTCAAATGACCTTTGAAAACTGACTTGAAAAAAAAAGAAGTAATTCTGTTTTGTTCAAGAAATTTGATATCTTAAAGATAAAAAAAGAATGGGTAGTAAACTTCATTTATCTGTCATAAACCAGTTTCAAACAACAAGTAAACAGGATTTCCCATCTTCGTGTCTGATTTTGCCAAAATCTGCTTTTTTATTAATTCATTTGGGGGATAGACAATATTATAAATACTGTATGCACAAAATATCTGAAGACCCATGAATTAGAAATAAACTTTTTAAAAGAAGATTCTATTTATTTATTTATTTATTTATTTGAAAGGCAGAGTTGCAGAGAGAGAGAGAGAGAGAGAGAGAGAGATCTTCCATCCATTGGTTCCTTCCTCAAATGGCCACAACGGCAGTGAACTGAACTGAACTGAAACGAGAAGCCAGGAGCTTCTGGTTCCCCCATGTGGACTCAGGGCCCAGAGACTTGGCCCGTCTTCCGCTACTTCCCCAGTCACATTAGCAGGGAGCTTGGTCTGAAGTGGATCAGCTGGCAGTGAAACCAGTGCCCACTTGGGGTCAGCATTGCAGGTAGTGGCTTAATGTGCTGTACCACAGCTCAGGCCTAGGAATCAGCTGTTATCAGTACCATGTGCTACCATGGTTTACATTTTCAAAGGGAAAAGGTGAGGTACAAAGACATTAAATAATTTGTTTAGGGACATCTAATAAATTCAGTCAGTGGGAAATGGAGAATTAGAGCTGAAATTTATGAATTTTTATGACCATGTCCAGAATCTCAGTCGTTTATCTAATACCCTCTTTTCCCATGAGTGCATCTCAGTTTATACAAATTATGATTCAAGATCCCTGTCAGAGTTTTCCATATCCTCAAGAGGAGAAAATACTTGTATGTCTTTTTTTTTTTTTTTTTTTTTTTTTTTTTTGACAGGCAGAGTGGATAGTGAGAGAGAGAGACAGAGAGAAAGGTCTTCCTTTGCCATTGACTCACCCTCCAATGGCCACCGCGGCCGGCGCACCACGCTGATCCGAAGGCAGGAGCCAGGTGCTTCTCCTGGTCTCCCATGGGGTGCAGGGCCCAAGCACTTGGGCCATCCTCCACTGCACTCCCTGGCCACAGCAGAGAGCTGGCCTGGAAGAGGGGCAACCGGGACAGAATCCGGCGCCCCGACCGGGACTAGAACCCGGTGTGCCGGCGCCGCAGGCAGAGGATTAGCCTAGTGAGCCGCGGCGCCGGCCTTGTATGTCTTTTAAAGCTCACTCTTTGAGGTTTCCAAAAGTAATCGTAGAATTTAGTCTTTTGATATCACAAATGGAAACAGTTTTCTCCGAAGGGAAAGTAGAACACCAGACACAGTAAACTGAGCAAACTTTGCAAGCCATTTCATGTGTATGGAAAGATCCACCTGTGGTGTTCCCAGTCTGCCTTTCTGGGCCATCTGCTGCGTCTGTCATGAGACCAGTTGCATAAACCAGCACCTGCTCTTTCCAAAAGCTGCCTGGTTTGCATCCATGAATTCATATGCTGACCTCATCAGATGGTTGGCAACTCTGATCTGGCCAGCAAAATTGGAGTTTTCTGACAGCAAGGATAAGTGCTAATTAGCAATGGGTTCTATAGGGAAAGGGAATTGCATATTTTCATAAGAATGCCAGCCTCAAATTGGAATTTCTATAGTAATTTCAAGGTTTTTTCTATATTTAGAGCAGGAATATCATTTAAGATTATGGAAAATCAAAACCCAATAAAACTGCTTAGAAGATGAGCAAATATTTGAAGTTGAAACTCTCAATCATAGACAATTTAGCTGGTGTCTGTCACCAAAACGATTAGAATTTGGTATTTACTTTATGGCATAATTCCAAAGAGAACCTTAGCAACTACAATATTATATCTTTTTTCTCAGAATATTCCAATCAGAAGTCATTTTCTGAGCTGGCACTGTGATGTATTAGGCTAAGGTTCTACCTGCCATGCCAACATCCTCTGTGGGTGCCAGTTCATGTCCCAGCTGCTCCTGTTCTGATCCAGCTCTCTGCGAGGGCCTGGGAAGGCAGTGGAAAATGACCCAAGTGCTTGGGTCCTTGCACCCACGTGGGGACCCGGAAGAAGCTCCGGGCTTCAGATTGGCCCAGCTCCGGCTGTTGCGACCATTTGGGGAGTGAACCAGCTCTGTCTGTAACCCTGCCTCTCAAATAAATAAAACAAAACCCTTAACACAACTAAAATAAAGAAGACATTATCAAAGGAGAACTTAGATCTACCCTTTTGAAGTGATATACTCCAAATATCTCAGTGTCATGCCTTTCTCTGGGCTGGAAGTCCCACCCAACTTGCAGACATTGTCCTTCTCTTTCCCAGAGTGAGGAATTACATCCATATAAAACACGTGTGTGGCTACTCCGCTTCCTGTTACTCTCTGATATTCCTCCTGGGCTCCATCATCTTTTTCTGGTACATCTTATTCCCGGATCTGTTGTCTGAATTGCACACCAACGTGTCTGCACCAGCTCTCCAGCAACCTTTCCGTAGCATCTACCAGGGTGGTGTCACTTTCCCGGGACTCTGCTGTCAGCTTCGCCCTCTGAGTTTATGATGCTTGTTTTCTCCTGTTCCAGTGTTAACTCACTTTGCCCCTTCCAGCTTTGACCTCATCTTCCTCTCTACTTTATCCATCAGGCTGCTAGGGGACATTTTGTCCCAACAAATCTTCATTACAGTCTGCCATCAGGATTGGCAGTGAAGACGCATGTTAAATACAACCTGGAAACCGGGTGCATTTCTCAGAGAGGACGATGATCCTTTAAGACAGCAAGTGTTCTTTATTCGACATGCAAACGTGAATATCTGTGTGAGTAACAAAATGAGCCTCTCACTGAGACACGGTTTTTTAAAAAAATAAATAAATAAAACTCAGAGAGAAAAACAATGTGTAAAAAACAACAGATGGTCAAATAATAAAGCATGTATAAAACTTTTGGGTAAAAACCAATGTGCTGAGTGAAATGGGTAGAAAAGGCCAAATAAAATACACTAGAGATTTTTGTAAACAAAGCAAGATGTGCATTTTTCAGTGAATCATTTCATTGAACTAGGGGGACACGCAAATGTTTGTGTATTTAAAATAGAGTTATTTGGCTCCTTTGGGAAGTAACTTTTATAAAAATCAGAATTTTTCCATAGTCAATCTTTCAACGAATAATGTAAACCCACGGCGTTTTAACTGATGCACTTCTCAGCGTGACCTCCTGTAATTGGTTTCACATGTGACTCCCGCACTCTTGTGCAATGACTAAAGAAAATGAAGGGACTCGAAGGTTAACAATAATGGATCCTGTTTTATCTTTGCTGTCCCAGGGTGTATGCACACACAGCACACATACACACACGTAAGCGCTCCCTGAGATCCCCATGGGAGAACAGGCAAGGTCATCTGGGTTCACGTCCTCTGTGGGGGCAGCAGTTGCGTAAGGAGCCCTCAGATGTCCCTTCCTCCCTAAGAAGCAGAAGTGTTAAAGCAAAGATCATACTCTCCCCGCCCCGCAAGCTGGTGTTCTAACCTCTGAAGGCAACATGAAGCAAGGACAGTGGGCCTGAAACTGTAAACAACATTTATAGGAAACATTCCTTAGAATGTGAAGCAATGGCCACGCGCACTGGAGAGGGAGCTGGACAAAGAGGCTGAGTTCTGGAGGAGGTGACTGGCAGAATCCTCGCACAGGGCTGCCAAGGGGCTTTCTCTTCCGTAGCAGTTGATGCTGCCCTCTCCCAGCCGTAAGCACAGGGTGTCGCCCCTACCAGGAGCACATGCTGTGAATCAGACAGACCTGTGTTCAATTCCCAACTTAAATGCTATTTAAGCTATGTGATTTGGAGCAAGTTGCTTAATTTCTCTTATTTTTAATTTCCTTATCTGAAAAATACACATGGAGATAATATATTCCCCCTGATTACTGATAAATGGAAAGCCCTTACGTCTGGGACTTGGCACAAAGTATGTGCTCAATAAATGTTAGTTAAACCAATTAGCATTTAACCATATTTTGAGGCATTCCTTTTGTTTCTCTCCAGGTCTCCTTCAGTTCTCAGATGACCTGATCACTCCAGGAAGCTGCCTGAGCACCCTCACAGTCTGACATTCTCCATACTAGAAAGGGAGCCACTGGTGGAACATAGACCTAAGTCTACACCATTCAGAGGCTACAAGTCAGAGTCTCGGGCTCAGCAGGAAAGCTGTGAAAATTCACTGGGTTGCATACCATAGAGTTGAACAGAATGTAGAATTGCCAGAAAGTAGTAGAACGAAGGCAGTTCCTTGGGTTGGGTAGTGTATCCTATTTCCCATCATGCTCTCTGTTACAGGATGTGTTTTGGTAGCTCTTCAAGCTCCATAAAAGAGGATGTGGGCTTAGATGACTTTGTAAGGGAGGAAAATTTTCTTCTTTCTCTAACCATCTTAAGTTCATTGGCTGGTACCCTGCAAATTGACCAAAAAAAAAAAAAAAGGTTAACAGAGAAACACGTTTATTCATGCATACAGGTACATTGTACACAGAAGCCTCAATAATGAGTTATTCACCACTTTGACTATGACCTTGTCTAAACAAGATAAGAGTCGGAGAACTCAGAGGGCTTCCATAGCCTTGGAAACTCATGACTGGAGCATAGAGAGACTACTGATGCCATAGACAGGAGTGTCAATTGGTAAAGTCAACAACAGGAGTCACTGTGCACTTACTCCTCATGTAGGATCTCTGTCCTTAATGTGCTGTACATTGAGATTTAATGCTATAACGAGTACTCAAACAATATATTTCACTTTGTGTTTCTATGGGGGTGCAAACTGTTGAAATCTTTACTTAATGTATACTAAACTGATCCTCTGCCATAAACAAGAGTGTCAATTTGTAATGAAAGAAAGAAATTATCAACTCCCAACTTGACTCTCACTGGGATTAAACATGACAATAGGTCTGATCTGATTTCATCATCATTTAAAAAAAATCATCTATTATTTTTCACTTTATGTTTCTGTGTGGGAGCAAACTGTTGAAATCCTTACTTAATGTATACTAAGCTGATCTTCTGTATATTAAGATAATCGAAAATGAATCTTGATGTGAATGGAAGGGGAGAGGGAGTGGGAAAGGGGAGGGTTGTGGGTGGGAGGGACGGTATGGGGGGAAGCCATTGTAATCTATAAATCGTACTTTGGAAATTTATATTCATTAAATAAAAGTTAAAAAAAATAATGAGTTATTCAATAGAGAGATATGAACTTGGAGTTACATAGCATCTTAGCAAAAAACAATACATTTGTAGAGAGGCGATGAAATTTAAAAAAAAAAAAAAAATGTGCTTTAGGCTCCCAAAGGCAGAAAACTATGTGAAAGTACAAATGTGTGGAAAACTGATAGAGGAGGATTTGTTGTGTAGATCCGTTGCAGCACTGACTTTTCATCTTTTTTGTGGCCACAAAACTTTCCTGAAAGAGGCAATGTATCCTGGAGTAGCCCTCATTTGTCAGGAATTTCTTCTTGTAGTTAGAAATGATGGCCTCAGGAAAGCTACTGCTTTCTGTGTAGGCGGAGTCTTACTTGCCTCCAGCTCAAAATATTCTTAATGCCAAATTCGCACTTTTTGATCTTCTACAACTTCAGAGAGCAGAAAAATCATGGTAATTACTTGTACTGACATAACCTGTGGGATACCAACTCTAAAAATTTTCTCATAGACTAGTCACCTCCCAGGCTACTGAATCTACCATAAAAGTAACCACTAACACATATACTCTGCAGAATCTCCCTGGAGAGAAGACAGTTGGGTGACTTCAAGAGAAAAGTTTTCTAAGTCAGCTCTGTCACACCAGAAGCATAACAATTGTGATGGCAGAACTGGAATGAGAAATAAGTAGCTTTTTCCAAAAAGAACCCAGGCCCAGTAAAGGAAGGCATATCCAGGCCATCGGTAATCTGGCCCAGGGATTCTCCAAAGCCCAACGAGCCCGTGGTGCAGGTGCACTGATCTCCCCAACACTGCGATGAGGCACAAAGGATCCTTTCTGAAGTGTTATCACCAGGAAATCTATTTTTCCAAGAGTCTAACGTCCTTCTGCAAAGATCTTCTTATGGAATTGACATGTAAATGTGACATAGATTAACTTCACAACCTAGTGTTTCATTTCTTAATATTTTGTTGTTTCCAATAGCAAGACAACTGTTTTTCAGTTGCATAGATATTACCTAGAGAACACGTTATTGAATTCTGAAATTTATTACTTAGAAAATATTTATATTGTATTTTCCTTTGAACATATCCTGGTGTGTTCAAAACATCTAAAGAGATGTGAGGCAGGGCATTTGAAAATATTCACTATTTTAGGAAAACAACAGCAAAGAAAATATCCGAAGGAACTACTCACAAAGAACACACACATTGCCACAGTAAAAAGCATCCGCTGTGTACGTATCCTTGCGCGCCCAGCTAGACTCTCAGCTGCGTTGTATACGTTGTATACGCTGATTGCTTCCGGAGACCTGGAGGAGTGGCTCGGTGACTGCCAACGCGCATGAGCTCTGGCCAAGCAGCTGGATCCCCAGGAGTCCCAGTGGCTCGCTTTGTGTGAAGGTCACCTGTTCTACCTCCCCTTTCTCTCAGTAGGAAAGGAAATCAGTTTAGTCTTACCCTGCTCCATCTCATCACTTCTAAACTACTAATTTATCAGCTTCCTTCCAATTATCTTCATTTAAATTTCAAATTGACTATTCTGCCCAAATCCCAACTGTAATCTAAGAACTGTTTCAAACATTTGGAATAACTTAACAACTGACTGAAATTCTTCTTGCTATCCTAAACCTTGAGAGTGATTTCTTCCACTTACTCATGCAGTTGTCTACTCACTTATCCCATCCATCAGTTCACCAAGTCTGCCTTCCTCCTATCATGGCCAGTGCATTTAGGGTTCCCAAACAAGCACCTCAAACTCGTGGGTTAAACAGCAGAAATGTCCATTATCCCACAGCTCTCATGGTACAAGCAGGGTTGAGTGCATCTGAGGACTCTGAAAGAACCATCTATCCCATAGTTTTATTTATTAGAGAATGTTGAGATTAATTTGTTCCCTTATATTTCACAGTGAAAAAAAATGCATTTTGTTTGTCCAGGTTTCCCACCCTAAATGACCTAATTTTCAGTGTCCAACAAAATAGAACTTTTCCAACCTATTATTAAAACAATTAGGAGACCATTAGACTGAGGCAGCTGTAGCAACCTGAGACTATACTAAGCAAAGGAAAACCCAATTCAGCACGCACTGTCACATCCCAGGAGAACAAAACTTAAGTATTATCAAATTGCCAACTAAGCTCTAACTAGAGGCATTGAGGCTACTGCTCCCCTTCAACCCATCTGTTTTGTTCTGCATTTCTTCTCCATTTACTGTATATAAATCATGAAGGGGCAGTGGCCTTCCTTTACTGCCCATTTATCAGAGTCTCAAACCAACTCTGGTCTGGAGCTGTCCAATTCAGAAATGCTATCTGCTCAAATAAATCCTTCAATATTGTAGGACACTTAAATTTATCTTTTACTTCTATGTAAAGAGTCATTAAATGATGTGACCATCATATCTTTTTTATTCAAAGTATTAAAATCATAATAGGAAATTGCTCTTCTAGAATCTAAATGGAACTCTTTAACATACAGTTGATCAGAGTAACCGTTTACAGGTTCATGGGATCACTAATATGTATCTTGAATAGTTAGGCATATGTTCACGAGATTTTTATCTCTATTCGATTGTGTTTTCCCTTTGTAGATAAAACATTTTACTGTACTTCTTGTCAAAAACATCTTCATAAGGGGCAGGTATTTGGTACAGTAGTAAAGCCAACTTTTCAGATTCATTACCAGAGTGCCTGGGTTGGAATCCGATTCCACTTCAGATTCCAACTGCCTGCTAATGCGCAGCCCAGAAAGGCTTAGTTACTTGGGTCCCTGCAACCTCTGTCAGAGACCTGAATTGACTTCTGGGCTCTCAGCTTGAACCTGACCCGGCCACAGCTGTTGGCAGTATTTGGGGAGTGAATCAGCAGAGACGTGCTCTCTCTGCTTTTAAAATAAAATGAAAATAAATAATTGTAAATCTTAAAAAATAATTTTAAAAACTCATCTTCATGAATTTAAAAAGAGTACTGAGAGACCAGGAGGCCCCAGAGAATAACAAATAAATACATTCATGGACCTGACAAGTGCAAAGCAAAACAAAACAATAACAACAAAAAACACTTGAAAGTGAGAAATGCTTTTGCAGACAATGAAAGATAAAATTCCATTCAGGAGTAAAACTCAGAGTAATGGGTGCTTTAACAAATGAGACATTTGGGGGTTTTTGTTGTTGTTGTTGTTGTTGTTTGCTTTAACCAAATGAGTCAAGAGTCGCCTCTCAGTTCATGACTGAATTAATTTGATATTCATGCACCAAAAGATCAAAATGGAAAAAGTATTCCAAAGGAATATCATGACAACATTCACTCATTTGCTAGATACTGAAATATATTTAGTAAGCCTCTACCCTGTTCTAGACATTGTGCTAACCACAAGGAGTGCAATATTGAGTAAGATCGACATCATTTTAATAAATTATAAAACAGACTAGCTGCAAAATAACGACACTAGAAAGTGAGATATTGTTATGAATAGAAAGAGTGTGGGATGATGTGAAAGTACTTAGCAAAAGCATCCAACCTCATATAAATGGCTTTTTCCTACCTCCAAAGCAGAGCTGCCTGAAAGATGAAAAGGGATTAAAGTAAATGCCATGAAAATGTTTCCATGGCAGAGGAAAAGGGAGTCAAAGAAACTAGTTGGGAAGCTGTTGGAAAACTCAGACAGTGGCTTCAGCTAACGTTGGTAATCATAGGAGTTAGGAAATGGGGAGAACTTGGGAAAGGTTTTTGGGATAGATTAAACAATAATTAATGACCAGGGGAGTATGGGAAAGAAAGTCAAGAGTAATTCCTGGATCCATGGTGAAGGAGACCAGGAAACCACCCCCAGAATATGGTGCCCCAGTGTGCTGATTATTTTAAATGAAAGGAATTCAGAGAGCAGCAGGCACTTGAAGAGGCTTCCACTGGTAGCTCCTGGACAGCCACTAGACCTTCAAGGAAGAGAACAATTACTTCTTACCCCTCCCCAAGATATTGTTAACTAACTTCACAGCTCAGGAAGAAAGACTGGAGTCTGTGAACACGCCTGGACACACTTTTGTCATATACCATGGTCTTCTATTTCAGTACCCTTCAGTATCCTAAAGAGAATTGTAACCCATTGTCTGTTCTGTGGGCCAAATACTTTGTCAATAGAATTCCACTGAAAACCATTTACTATGCCCCTGAAACATGTCTACACTCCCAATTCTCTGCCTCCTCTATGGAAAGGGGATATTATCCTACTGAATCATTTTGTATGAGTGG